GGACGTCAAAAACTGAGGAAAAATTGCAACTTTTATTGGTCGCGCGCAACCCTTTCACACGAAATGGACGTTGGACGTCAAAAACTGAGGAAAAATTGCAACTTTTATTGGTCGCGCGCAACCCTTTCGCACGAAATGGACGTTGGACGTTAAAAACTGAGAAAAAATTGCGACTTTGAAGTGTCCCGCGCAACCCTTACGCACGAAATGGACGTTGGACGTCAAAAACTGAGGAAAAATTGCGACTGTGAGTTGTCAATCGCAACCCTTCCGCACGAAATGGACGTTGGACGTCAAAAACTGAAGAAAAATTGCGATTTTACTTGGTCAATCGTAACGCTTTCGTCTGTGTAAAAGTGTCTGTGTGTAAAAGCGTCTGTGTGTAAAAGTGTCTGTGTGTAAAAGTGCCGTGTGTAAAAGCAGTTGTGTGTAAAAGCGTCTGTGTGTAAAAGGGTCTGTGTGTAAAAGCGTCTGTGTGTAAAAGCGTCTGTGTGTAAAATCGTCTGTGTGTAAAAGCGTCTGTGCGTAAAAGCGTCTGTGTGTAAAAGCGCCTGTGTAAAAGCCTCTGTGTGTGAAAATGTTGTGTGTAAAAGTGTCTGTGTGTAAAAGGGTCTGTGTGTAAAAGCGTCTGTGTGTAAAAGGGTCTGTGTGTAAAAGCGCCTGTGTGTAAAAGCTTCTGTGTGTGAAAGTGTTGTGTGTAAAAGTGTCTGTGTGTAAAAGCGTCTGTGTGTAAAAGCGTCTGTGTGTAAAAGCTTCTGTGTGTAAAAGCGTCTGTGTGTAAAATCGTCTGTGTGTAAAAGCGTCTGTGTGTAAAAGCGTCTGTGTGTAAAAGCGTCTGTGTGTCAAAGCGTCTGTGTGTAAAAGCGTCTGTGTGTAAAAGCGTCTGTGTGTAAAAGCTTCTGTGTGTAAAAGCGTCTCTGTGTGTAAAAGTCTCTGTGTGTAAAAGCGTCTGTGTGTAAAAAGCGTCTGTGTGTAAAAAGCGTCTGTGTGTAAAAAGCGTCTGTGTGTAAAAAGCGTCTGTGTGTAAAAGCGTCTGTGTGTAAAAGCGTCTGTGTGTAAAAGCGTCCGTGTGTAAAAGCGTTGTGTGTAAAAAGTGTCTGTGTATAAAAGCTTCTGTGTGTAAAAGCTTCTGTGTGTAAAAGCCTCTGTGTGTGAAAGTGTTGTGTGTAAAAGCGTCTGTGTGTAAAAGGGTCTGTGTGTAAAAGGGTCTGTGTGTAAACGCGTCTGTGAAAGTCTTTGCGTGTAAAAGCATCTGCCTGTAAAAGCGCCTGTGTATGAAAGCGTCTGCGTGTAAAAGTGTCTGTGTGTAAAAGCGTCTGTGTGTAAAAGCCTCTGTGTGTAAACGCGTCTGTGTGTGTGTGTAAAAGCGTCTGTGTGTAAAGGAGTCTGTGTGTAAAAGCTTCTTTGTGTAAAAGCGTCTGTGTGTAAAAGCCTCTGTGTAAAAGCCTCTGTGTAAAGTGTTTGTGTGTAAAAGCTTCTGTGTGTGAAAGTGTGTGTGTGTCTAAAAACATCTGCGTGTAAAAGCGTCTGTGTGTAAAAGCCTATGCGCGTAAAAGTGTCTAGTGTCTGTGTGTAAAGGCGTCTGTGTGTAAAAGCCTATGTGTGTAAAAGTGTCTAGCGTCTGCGTGTAAAACCTTCTGTGTGTAAAAGCTTCTGTGTGTAAAAGCGTCTGTGTGTAAACGCTTCTGTGTGTAAAAGCGTCTGTGTGTAAATGCGTCTGTGTGTAACAGCTTCTGTGCAAAAGCGTCTGCGTGTGAAAAACAATACGAAGGATAGGATGCAAACCAGTGTTTTGTACTTGTAATATATTGTCTTGATACTACTTGTCTCGCCTGCCTAAAATACATCTTTAATATATTGTCTTGCAATATAGTGTCTCAATACTAACAACAGAAGACCCTGCTCTCTCTCTCTCTCCCTCTCTCTCTCTCTCTCCCTCTCTCTCTCTCTCTCTCTCTCCCTTTCTCTCTATCTATGTCTCTCTGTGGTTGCAAGACACGTGTCATATGATGCCCTTTACCAAGCAGCACAGTGCATATGCATGGGTTGTCACATGTATCCTCATCTTAATCAATCTTACTTTTCACAACTTACCCCTCCATAGCTCCTATAAAATTCACCAACCTATCACCGACTATTTTTTACGACTACCATACTCAGAGCTGCTTGAAAAACGTCTTTTTCGCTCTCGGGCCAACCGTCGTCTAGTTTTCATGAAAAAATGGATTTGGTACAAAATGTATGGCCCAGGAGGACTTTGGCGTATAAAATCTTGGTCCAAACCTGCTTTGTACCAAACCCGGGTGAACGTATTTTGTAGAGGAAATTCAAACCCCGATCTATAAGGATCATACACTATTGTTCTTATAGTTATAAACCTACTTAGCTAACTATGAGGCCCCATCCTGTATAGATATTGTATATGTATGTATATATATATATATACGTATATGTATGTATATATATATATATACATATCGAATCTAAAGGCGAAACCCGCGGGGGCCTGATAGGCCTGGTAGCACCAATTTGGACACCTTGTCGGCGAAACCATCAGGAGGCCATCGAGTTTTGAGGTTAAGATGGTTTTCCCTTTTTCCCTGGCTCCCAAAAACTATCCCGGTTAAACACCCCAAAGCAGAGTGATGGGGCGAATAGACAGCACATGTTTCTAGCAAGATAAGGAATAAGGATCAGGACTCCTTCCAAGACCTCATAAGACTTTGCAAAGGGCCTACAAAAGATGTCAGAAGAATTCCGTGGAAGGTCCATGTGACAAGATTTCTCTTCAGAGATCTGCATGAAAGGCCACGAAAGGTGAGAATAATCTCTATACAAGATTGCGCAGGACCTCGTGAGAGGTGCATGGAAGGTGCACAAGATCCCCTTCCAAGATCTTCCAAGACCTCAGCACAAGGACCTCTTCCGATATCTCAAAAAAGGTCTCTATTGACGACGCAAAGGCTGCTCAGATCTTCGAAGGTCTCTTTACAAAGTCGCTCCGTAGATTTCTGTAGGGATCTCCGCCGGGGGGCCTCTGTAGGTTTATTTTTAAAGGTCCTCTGGACCTTTCTTTGCAGCAGGGAGGTGCAAGACCTGTGTAGAGGATCTCTGCACAAGACCTCGTTAAGTGTCTCGCCGCCTTAGGATGGTGTCGGTGTCACTATGGCGTGTCAACTGCTGTATGTCCACTGTATGTCGTCTTGGTGGTGTATTGGTGGTGCGTCACTGGTGAATTCATGTGGCGGAGTCTCGGTGATGTCTTGGTGCAGACCCAGAAGCGTCTCAATGCGTTTTGCACGGGTGTGTCTCGGCGGCGTTTGGGAGGGCATGTCTCTGTAATGATGCATCTGTGCGGAATTTTGATGGTGTTGCAATATGTTGCGATGGGAATTCAGTGGTACCTTGTCAGTGTTTGGGTTGTCTTTCTTTTGCTTGTCAGTGTCTTGGTGAAGCACCAAACACATATTACTAGTTTAAAAGGTTCAGGAATTGAGCACCACGTAAGGTCAACAAGTGCAAATCTCATCCCAAGCAAATAGAAACAATGAAAAACGAGAAAAGAAACTCCTGTATTATCGAAAGAAGCTGCGTTTTTCCCTAGCTGGCGTTTTCTTCTTGTTTGAGTGCTTGGGCATTTTCGGCAAATTCTTTACTCTCTTGGCAACCGACGTGCAGAAGTGCAAGCTGGTCTAGGATCATCTAGGGGTATCTGGCATTGCCCCTCTCTTTCTTTAAAGTTGTTTACGATGTCTTAGCACTGTCTCACCGGTTTCACAATGATGCCGGGGCAAAGTGTCAATGTGTTTGTGGCGTTATTTGGATCTGGATGCTTTCTCTAGTTTGAGACATTTATACACAGGTTTTTGCATAAGATTCAACGTGTCGATATGGAGACACTTTTCTTATCACGTAATATGTGTAAGTGTATATATATATATACATCTTATGTATCCACCCAGATTTGACGGGAGAGCAGCGGTGTATTTCAACCCGGATATTTCGATATACAGTATCTGAATCCTTTCCGTCGTTTGTCGCACTGGTTTGCACACCCAGCACAAGTGAAACGCGGGCCACAGCTGCATCAACTAGATCTAACAATATAACTAGACCGGCTGCAGTTTTTTGAAAAACGTCCAGGATCAATGTAATCAATGGATTGTTTACTGGGACATGTTACAGGGCGTCCATACATTCCATGGGAAAATCCATGGTTTCCGGTTAAGATTAGCCACCGCTGCGGCCTCCATCGTCTCTTCCGGTGGCTACCATGGCAGCAGAGGCTTTTGCTCTACGAATTGGCAGCAGAGGCTTTTGCTCTACGAATTGCTACAGACCCTCCAAAACTACCGGAAAGCCCTGAAGAATCCCACATGAATCAACATAAATCAACATGAATGATGATCTATTGATGGTATAGATTCCAAACCATCTTTTACACAAAGAGGTGTTTTGTACAAAAACTGTGTTATCCACAAACACCATGTTTTACACAAAAACCATGTCCTTGCTGGGCCTGCTCTTTCCATGGTGGCCCGCGGAACATGCCGAAGGCGGTTAAATAATTGTTGGATATTGTTTGTTTACGTTGCTTACAATATTCGTCGAAGAATCTGGTGGAGTCCAAGTCATTTGACGCTTCAAAACCCTAAATTGGCTGCACATGTCTAAAATCAGAGGGGTTTCCCACCCAGGTTCAAACCAAGTCTCTGCACTCAGTCCCTCACAACAAGTTTCAACTGAGTTGTAGGTCACCTTAGCAGCACAATGAGCCAAACTGCAGGAATCCAAGCGAGACCCAGTGCCAAAACCATGCCGCCAGCTCTGTCAAAAATACAACCTAACAGTTTGCAGAAAACACTGACTAAAATGTGTTCAAAATGCGGAATGTAACGAGTTTTCATAGAACATGTCAAAACAGAAGATGGCTGCAAGGCAACTGCTGCTTGCACACTGGGTCACGCAAGCAATACCCGGAAGCCGCGCTGAGCGCCCCGTTTTCTCGGCGTCAAAGCTTTGCAGATGCCGGCCAAGTCCCAGATCTTGGAAAGGGACCCACTCGCACGCTGCGCCATGCCATACTGGCTGCAAGGACAAGGAAGACTGAGGCAAGGGGCGGTTTTTTTAATCCGCGCTGCCAGCACAAACGATTTCAGGGTTAGGTCCTTGGAGCAGGTTGGGTCATGGGTTCCCGACCCTCTGGACAGCTAGGACGACTGTGGAGAAGGACGGCTTTGGCAAGGCTCGCTGCCAGCAGCAACGGCTTCAGTCTAGGCTAGACGCTCAATGAAAAAGCTCAGCTTGAAACGGAGTAATGCAAAGAAGAATCTATTCTAGCGGGGTCCAGCACTGGACCTTGAACATGCGCAGCTTCAATCTTTGTGAGCCCTGTTCTAAATGTCTTGTATCATCTAGCCTGTGTGGGTCCTTGCACTCTTCAATCTTTGTTGTGAGCCTGAACAAATATACCCCGGCAGTCTGTAACATGTTCTTCTGGCCAACCCAGCCAAAGGTGGAGTCGACTTTGCTTCTGTCACAAGAGGGCGGCATGAATATCCAGCATGGGCTTTATTCTCTTCCAAACACACATGCATTGCTCCGAGCAGGCTCTAGGGACATTCACCGCCAAGTGACCAAAAGCTTGCGACATCAAAGTCTCTTCACCTTGACAGCTGTTGAGAGATCTGCATTCTCAGCAAACGGGCATCGTGTTCTTTGCAGGCTGTCGAACTTGACGATCCTCAACTTTCTGCTCTGGTAGCCAGGAGCTGCATCGCAATTACACTCCAGCAACAGGAGCAAAGTTCAAGGCCCCGTTTGAAAGACAAAAGAGCTTGATGTTTGGTACACTTTAGAGTCTCCAGCAAGAACCATCAATCGCCTTTTTGGCAAAGACAAGAGCTTGACCCTTGGCCTGTAGGATGTCAATTCCAGTGCCGCTGCTTGCGCATGCTGCGCGACATCTCTGCAAAAGGCCAGCATGAACATCCAGCCTCAGCTGCCTTTGCTTTCAAGCGCACAGGGATTGCTCTGAACGAGCTCTATGGACATTCACTGCCAAGTGACACAAAGCCTCCGACATCAAAGTCTCTTCAGCTCGACCTCGAAAGCTGTTGAGAGATTTCTCGTGCGTTCTTTGCACACTGCGGAATTCGTCAATCACACTACATATACTCTCAGCTCCGGTACCCGTGAACTCCAAAGCATACCTGGATCTTCACTTAGCACTTTTCTGCTCATAGCAGTTTTCGCTTGGAGTTACGTTTGTTCTGACTTTTTTAGGCTCACTTGAACTAGAAAACGCGCATTTGTTTCTTGACGGACGGGCATTTACGCTTTTGTCCGGGTATTTACGCTTATTTCCCGTCAAAAAAAGCTTTTATTTTGGCTTCAAAATGCACAAAATGCAAAAATGCCAAAACTGGTGCAATTTCGCTCATGTGGAGAAACCGCTCAAAAAGCAAAAATCTCTCAAATGAGCATTTATTTGCGTTTTTTCGAGGATGCAGGTATGCACTCTAGCAACAGCGTCAAAGTTCAAAGCCCGGTTTGCGAAAAAAAAACCTTACCCTTGGTCTGTAGGATGTCAATTCCAGTGCCGCTGCTTGCGCATGCTGCGCGACATCTCTGCAAAAGGCCAGCATGAACATCCAGCCTCAGCTGCCTTTGCTTTCAAGCGCACAGGGACTGCTCTGAACGGGCTCTAAGGACATTCACTGCCAAGTGGCACAAAGCCTGCGACATCAAAGTCTCTTCAGCTTGACATTGAAAGCTGTTGAGAGAGTTCTCGTCAAATGAGCATTGCGTTCTTTGCACGCTGCGGAATTCGTCAATCACACTACATATACTCTCAGCTCCGGTACCCTTGAACTCCAAAGCATGTGCACTCTGGCAACACCGGCAAAGTTCAAAGCCCGGTCTTGAAAAAGCGAAAGCTTGACCCTTGGCCTGTAGGATGTCAATTCCAGTGCCGCTGCTTGCGCATGCTGCGCGACATCTCTGCAAAAGGCCAGCATGAACATCCAGCCTCAGCTGCCTTTGCTTTCAAGCGCACAGGGACTGCTCTGAACGGGCTCTAAGGACATTCACTGCCAAGTGACACAAAGCCTGCGACATCAAAGTCTCTTCAGCTTGACATTGAAAGCTGTTGAGAGAGTTCTCGTCAAATGAGCATTGCGTTCTTTGCACACTGCGGAATTCGTCAATCACACTACATATACTCTCAGCTCCGGTACCCTTGAACTCCAAAGCATGTGCACTCTGGCAACACCGGCAAAGTTCAAAGCCCGGTCTTGAAAAAGCGAAAGCTTGACCCTTGGCCTGTAGGATGTCAATTCCAGTGCCGCTGCTTGCGCATGCTGCGCGACATCTCTGCAAAAGGCCAGCATGAACATCCAGCCTCAGCTGCCTTTGCTTTCAAGCGCACAGGGACTGCTCTGAACGGGCTCTAAGGACATTCACTGCCAAGTGGCACAAAGCCTGCGACATCAAAGTCTCTTCAGCTTGACATTGAAAGCTGTTGAGAGAGTTCTCGTCAAATGAGCATTGCGTTCTTTGCACACTGCGGAATTCGTCAATCACACTACATATGCTCTCAGCTCCGGTACCCTTGAACTCCAAAGCATGTGCACTCTGGCAACACCGGCAAAGTTCAAAGCCCGGTCTTGAAAAAGCGAAAGCTTGACCCTTGGCCTGTAGGATGTCAATTCCAGTGCCGCTGCTTGCGCATGCTGCGCGACATCTCTGCAAAAGGCCAGCATGAACATCCAGCCTCAGCTGCCTTTGCTTTCAACTTCAGATGGATTGCTGTGAGCGGACTCTACGGCCATTCACCGCCAAGTGACCAAAAGCCTGCAACATCAAAGTCTCTTCACCTTGACAGCTGTGGAGAGATCTGCATTCTCGGCAAACGGGCATCGTGTTCTTTGCGGACTTTCTGCACTGACAGGCAGGAGCTGCACTGCAATTGCGCGCCAGCAATGCCGGCAAAGTTCAAAACCCAGTTTCGCAAAAACCAAAGCTTGACCCTTGGTCTGTAGGATGTCAATTCCAGCGCGGCTGCTTGCGCATGCTGCGCGACATCTCTGCTATGAACATCCAGCCTCTGTGATTCACACCGCGAGCCGGCCTCAGCCGCTCGATCTTTGAAAGTAAGCGAATCGAGAGTCGAAACATAACTTACTGTGTAAAATCCACCGCAAAAACGATCTGTTTAAAGATGGATAGGCAAGGCCACTCAGCGCTGCACTGACACAGGCCTCAATTTTCAGAAGCATGAAGACCATGAAGAAATATGTAAAACACAAATGATGATGTAACTAGCACAATTACATATGATTACATGATTGCTACGTGGTGCTTCTGGAAAACCCAGAGGGAACCGGTTTGGATGAGGATCTCGTCTGAAATGCAGAAATTTGTCGCCATGGCCTTGCTGCCTTGATCTGCCTTGCAACATCTGTTGATTTCCTTCAGTGCTGCCAAGAGACACAATCAGGTGATCCATGTGATCCTAGCACATCAGTTGCACAAACGCAGGAGGAAGGAATGAACCGATATCGAACTAAAAGTTAGTGAAGCGTCCAACTCGCTGGACTCAAAGTAGCACGCTGCAGGAAAACCCAGGCAAATGGTCAAGAAAAACATGGGAAAACATGGGAAAACTATGTCAAGGCAAATGTTTTGCAGCTCCGTTGTGTTCAGCACCAGCTACGCCGCTACGTTGAGTCCAGTTCAATCCTCTGAATCCACACCAGGCCAATGGGTTCACAGCAAAGTTGCCGATCGCGAAACAAAAGCGATCATGCATCATGGCCTGTGGAACGGCATGTTTGGTGAATGGTTTGCTTCCTCTTTGCTCAAACAGTAGCATCTCTGCAACCCTGACCATCAAGTCAGTGACTTGGATTTATGAAAATTGCATGCGCATTCATGATCTGTTCTTCTTTCCTCCTTCGTGCAAAAAAAATGAATCCCGAAACAGCCACGTGCACCACCAATGCGACAGGTTGGCGGCCGGTTTTCAATCAAAAAATTGCTGTGATGGCGCAGGTTTTTCAGGCAGGACCTGATGCAAGGATGTGTATGTTGTGGTTCAACATGGATTTACCAGCTTGGTCAGCTTGGTGCTTGTTGTAATTTACCCCGCGTGAAAAATACATTTTTGGACTTGGCCCGGTCCGTCAGTTTCGGGTGGGCATTTGTTGCCTGGGATTGGCACGACATTTTTTGTTGCATTTTTGTCCGTGAACAGTTTGAGAGATAGAATGATAGAACATATTTTAAACATCATGCATTCATCATTCTTGGCTGCCATCCTGTGAGCCAGTGCCATGCCAGGATGAGGGTGTGGAATTCGCTTTTCACAAAAGGCCTGGGACAATTGAAGGGAACTAAACATAAGGAGAACATTCCTTGCCGCCTTGTGAATCCCAGAGAGACTGAGCACTCTGCTACGTTGTCGTGAGGCAACAATCAGAACCAGCGACTCGACAAGTTGATTTCAAGGTGGGATCCCATGGTTTCCTCATGTTTCCTTCTAGTTATCTACGAAATTAACGTCCTGTGTCCTGTTGGTACCCCAAGGTCGGAAGTTTGACTTCTAAATTTCCTTCGGTATACCTGTGTACCTTGTTGGTTAGACATAGGAAACCTAAAGGTGCCGCAGTTGTGCACCTTCTTGATGAAACAAAAAAACCCTTAAGGTGTCGTACCTTTGTATTTACTTGGTTTAGCATCAACCATCAGGGTGCTGCGTCTGTGTACTTGCTTGGTGAAAAAACAAAATAGACTGTGTTCATGGCTGACCTGGTGTTGCGTAACGCCTTTGAGCGGGATTTGTGTGCGTGGCTGATCCCTTTACCTTTTTGAGGCGCAGTGGTGATTGGTGGTCGAGTTAAACCCGTGTTGCGTTAGGATGTTTCTGCAAATAGTTGTGGGCCAACTCAAAGAATGACTGGTTGATGGGATGGAACATATTTTTTTGGAAGTGATGGAAAAGGAGAGCTGGCAAGAGTCAGAGAAGAGAAACGCAGAAAACACAATCTCAAAGAAGAGAAAGGGTCAGAAGAAAGAAGATGCAGGTGCGCGATAAGGTAAACAAGTCGCAAAACACTGTGTTTTTTCCAATGCCTTGTGCCTCGGGAGGGTCGAAAAGTGGGATTGCTAAAGCGGTGGGTGCGAACCATCTGGCAAAATTGCACGCCATCGTGGCGCGAACGGATTTGAAAATTGAAAGTTAAAACTTCACGTCCCGAACAATTTTTGGAGCGGGGGCGTCGAAAAGGTGAACGCCGTTGAGGCGCGAAACACATCTGGAACGTTAAAAACACCTCAATGTGGGAACGCTTTTGGAAGTTGAAATGCCCAAAAAACGCACTCCGTTCAAAGCGCTAAAAACACTACATGTTCGGACCGCTTTTGGAAATTCAAGAATCGTTTTTGCAGCAGCAGGCGTGGCCCAGGTGTTGGAATGCTGGATCAATTCTCAGTCACAACTGTTGGTTTCCCTCGGGGTCAAGGAACCAACCAGACTGCACATCAATGGCTGCAGTATCGTCTGCAGGTTGTTGTTGATTGCTGCTTGGCAGGTGTCGCAGGCAACCGGGCATGTCCGCAAGCTGCTTCTGGCGTCTTGTTCTTGGCATTGCTGGCACAGGAACTTCAGCTGTTGGAGTTTCAGGTGCTTCAGGTAGAGGTGGTAGTGGAAGAGGCACAATTGCCAGAGGCTGACCATCAATTGCTTGAGGTTGCCCAGCGGGATCCAAGACGATCCGATCTTCCAAAGCCGCAGGTGCGGGTCCACGATGGTCATGCGCACCGGCATGCTTGGCCATCAAATCCTCCGCTGACCTCAACAGTCGTAGATCTGCCACTGATGGTGTCCAAAGTTCTTCGAATTCAACACCATGTAGTTGCTCCCTTGCCACTTGTACCACACGCCCTCGGCCATTTCGCAGCCACACCGACCCAGCGGGAGTCGGGTCAATGCCGATGACAATGCCTTGACGATAGCCCTCTGCAGTGCCTTCATCATCAAGCTGGCTCTTCTGCTTGAAGTATGCCACTTTGGCGCCAACTTCCACAGGACCTCTCCATGGCCTGGAATTCGGAAGCACGGCTCTTCTCGAAGCATCAGGATGCTCGAACTGCAGGTGCTCCATCATAGCTTGGTGTCGGACTGCCTCAGTGCGGCTCAGAGTCCTCGATTACCTGCTTGGCCTCAATGGCATCCGGCTCGAACGGAGAGAATGGAGTTGGGGATCTTGGGATTTCTGCCATGGACCCATTGACAAGGTGAGGCACCAGAGCGTCTTGCCAGCGAATTCTTTGCGAAGCAAGCCATGTTTACCAGCATCTGCATTTCATCTGCCGTAGTTGCGGCAAACTGGTTCACCAAGCGCTGCATGATGTGCTTCACAGCTTGTCCATGACGTTCAGCTTTGCCAAGTTGATAATGGGCATCTTGTGGACAAATCGCACCTTGACACCATCTTTGACACCCGCTTTCGCTCCAGCAACCTGAAGCGTCAAACAAAGGCTGCGATGCTCTCGCCCTGGATGCGCCCAATGGACTCATGTCATATTCACAAATCACTCCAATTTGCCTGAAAGGTGGACGTTCTCCAAAAGATTCATCCAAGTTTTTCCAAGAGCAAGTCGATGCCATCATCCACGTTGTACCTGTTGTCTGGCACTTCAGACAACTCGAGCTCAGCCTCACCACGCAGCTGCTCTCGATGCCACAACCAGGCAACGACCAGTCTTCACTCCAATTTGGAGACTGGCTGACGCTGACGGCGCCGCTGGTTGGCGACATCTCTTCTTCCTCAAGGGAGTGGTGGATGGAAGTTTTGACGGAGACGGCAGCTCTCTACGATCAATGGCGCTAAGGGCACCGGCCGCACCACGCTCAGAGACATATCTGAGGCTGGAGCAAAGGATCGTCCCGATGCTTCTCAAGTCAATGCCAGAGGCGATCAAGGTGGTCTGAGGAAATGGCGAAAAATGAGAAACCGGGCCATAGAACTTCAGCTGACTTTGCCGGATCCGATCATCTTGACAGGCATCCTCGGGAAGTACACGGACAACCTTGAGAAGCTGGAAACTGGCATATCGGCAGGCGTCAAGAGTTGGCCGTGGATGTAAGGCCTACACTGTTGGTGGTGGAGCATTATGCTGAGTACCTGCAGTCTGAAGCCAAGGAGATCAACCTTCGAGTTGGTCTCAAGGCTTATGGAGCCGGGACCGCAGGGGCGATCACTCTGAAATCCTTGAACTCGGACGCAGTAGCCCAGCCCAACTTCGCATCCAGTGTGACGTCACAAGCGGCTCAGCAACCAAGCCCTGCCTCTTCTGGAAGACTTATCAAGGTAGGGTGCAAAGCTCAGCGCGGCATGGCATGCACCTCTTTTGGCAAATATCGGAAAGGCTCCGGGATCCCTTCAGGATCACATAAAACAGCTGTCTGAATTTGTCACTGGTAAAATTCTTCTTTGATCCATCGGTCTTTCCATCTGTCAACTGTGCTAATGGATTCTGCAGCCAGCGCATGAGATTCAAACGAAGTGTTGCGTTCAACTTCGTGAAACCACCTGCGTACAGCAGACGTGTCGGTACCCAACGTGTCTGCTTAGGCGTGATCGCTTCTCGGATGGCTCGAACATTCGCCAGGCTTCGCTTATCTGTCTGGTTCGGGTTAGCAGCTATGATTGCATCACACAAGGACTTGGAGTCGGTGGCCTGGAGGTTGTCTAGCTTGTATCCAACTTTGTGTGCTTCTTCATTGTAGAGCACCTCAGAGAGAATCATATTGACAAAGACGGCCCTGTCTGATCCCTCATCTGCGGCTGGACTTCAGCGGCTACGGTGCTTCGACAAACTCGAGGTGATCTTGCCGATTGCCAATCCATCAACATCACTTTCACAGGCTTGCTGGTGACATCAGGAGTCGTCAATGTGATGAGAACGCCCATCTGCGATGATGAGCATGCGGCATTTCCCCATGAAGCATCTGTGTAGGTCAGGAGTCAGGAGGACGGAATTCTCATTCACGGGGACATCCTGAAAAATGAACCCATACTCATGGGTGTCCTTAGCGAACTGCAGCGTCTCCGCCAAGGTCTTCAGATCATGGATCGCGGTGCTCTGGCCATGGTTGCTCAGTGAAGTTGCTGGGCATAGGTCGGGACGAGCTTGAGATCCAAGCCATTGCAAGCAACCAAAAATGCTTCTGAACTCTTTATGTTCTTTAGCTGTCAAGATCGGTGGTTTCTGCGTCCGACCCTTGGGAGAACATAGGGGTCCACAGCCTCAAGAAATTTGTTCACCGCGATCTTCAAAACAAACCTGCCGGACTCATTCTTGGTGAAGCAGAGCTCCTTTCCCTTCAAAGCTTGTGCAACGCCTAGGTCAAAGTAGCGAAATTCGCCCCATTTGAACAAATCGTGGAGCTCCTTGGCGTCATAGTCATGTCTGTGGATTCCCAGAAAGTCATCAAGGTAGCAATTGACAGCTGACTGGAGATTGCCGTCGCTGTCATACTTTCAAAACATCATTTTGTCAAAGTCACGTTGTCTGTATCCAGTGCTACGGAGCCGGCTATGACTTCTTGAGACCACAAGTGCGGTGGATTGGGAAGCCCGTGAGTATTCCCGCAAACTGATAGAGATCGGTTTTCCAAAAGGGAGTGAGATCGATAAGTGGATCTCGTGGTCGGGCCATGTAAAGAGGAAGTTGCCTCTCTGAATCAGGTTGAAGGAAGGCAGGCGCTGCATCGCCAAACCAACACTTCCATCTCAGTGAATTCCTTCCAAGCTCACCATTAAGGCCAGCCACTGCTAGGGCGTACACAACGTGTTCTGTTGTGCGGCCTGGTGATTGTTTCTAGGTCTGGATCGCAGTGTCCAAGGGCAGCGATGCGACATTTGGGTTTCATTTCCTTGTCCTCGGTTCTTGTCCCGATAGGCTGCCCTACTTCTCAGAATTCTCCGTCGGAGCTTGGGGTCTGACTTGATCTTAGCGATTTCTTCTTCAGTGAGTGGTTTGATAGGTCCCCACTCGCTCCAGGAGTTTGCTTCTTTTTCAATGGCAGCCAGGAACTTCTGAGTGTGGGCCTTTGGCATCGCCCAAATCTCACGCCAGGGAAGTTCCCTGTCGACTTGTTTGGCCTTTTGTCGTGTGAGGCGTTGTGCTGGGTGGTGGTTGCTTGCTGTTTGCCTTCTGAATCAGATGGTGCCGTTGTAGCTGATTCATTGCCATCCTTGCCAGTGTTCTGTACATCTGTTGCTCTTTGCTGTGTTGCTGCATATGCTCGGAAATATGCTTGTTGTTGGGGGCCGTACCCAATGTCTGGGGACACATCTGTCCAAGGTGACGTTCGTTCTATGTTGCTTGAATCAACTTGCAAGGTGCACACTGACTCAAAAGGTCGCTTTTGTGGTAGTATTACTGGTTCGTGGCCTGTCATGTGTGCATCTGCTGCTTCTGCTGTGTGGCAAGGTGCTTGCTACTGCTTCGGCGGTGGGCAAAGTGCCCTGCTGCTGTGCCGGCAAAATGCCTTGTGAAACGTGTTGTTGTTGATCTGGACCCGTGAGGTCGATCATTGGGACTGATTGTCGTAATGAAGAAGGTTGCGGTGGTTGTTGTAAAGTAGGTTGTCTGGGTGTTGTGTCTGAAGGTGGTGATCAATGAGGTAGGACATCCCGGGGCTGAGACTGGTCAGGCGTAGTGGCCTGCAGTCGCTCTGCGGGTGTCGTTGGTGCTTGTTGTCGGACAGATGGCTCTGGTTGTACTGAACCTGGTGGCCTATCTTCGCCAACTTGTTGTTCAAGTGACTGGAATGCTGATGAACTTGATGCTGCCTTGTCTGCCAATCGACGTGTTGGTGTAGAGGGATCGTGAGCGCCCTGGTGGTCGTAATGCTGGTGTGGTTGTGTTGGCTGCCGTAGTGGTGTAAGTTGTCGTGGTGTTGGCGGTGCGCCAAAACGTTGATAGATGTTGGTTTGCCTGTATGTTGAGCTTTGTTGTAGGTTGAGTTGAATGGTCGGGCCCTGTGTATTGCTAGTGGTTGCTCGTGCTTGTAGTGTGGGTGTCGCTGGTGCCAGTGGCGGTAATGATGATAATGCTGGAATGGTGGGCGTCAGTGTTGTGAGACCAAGTCGTTGCTCAATGGTTTCTGTGTTGATGATGTCATCGATTGGTTGGTCTGGTGCTGATGGTCCGACTTCGTCCTCCACCAGGTAGTCATGGAAAGACTTGATGCCGGACTTGAGGGTTTTGATGTCATCTGGGCTTGGGTTCCATTGTTCAGAGCCCACGGCTGTACGTAGCTGTTCCGCTGAAACCAATGTTGTGGAGGTTCCAGTCTGAGCCCAGGCAAGCTTCATTGGTGAGGCAAGATCCCAAGACAGGAATCGTGCTATGATTCATCTGCTGCGTTTCTTCTGGCCCCTTCGCGTTGCCACCTCCAATAGGCACAATTTTGCCCTGGCTGTAGATCTGGAAACTGAGTCAATCTTGTTTTCCTGAGCAATGCTCGTCGGAGTTGTTGACGTTGAGGTCGATGAGATGCTTCTGGGCCTCGCTGCGGATGATCTAGGAATCAGTGGCTGAGGCATTGTTGGTGATGCCAATGTCGCCATTCAGGACTCCACCCGGTAGTCGTATTTTTTCCAAAAACTGCTTGATATGCTGTTCCCCCTCTGGTGAATGTTGAAGAGTTCACTGCATGTAGTGCTGGTGGAAGAATGTGCTATAGCGTCTCCACGTCGTAGACGGCAAATTGGTCAACCACCTTCTCAAGCACGCATCTCAGGATGCTGTTTCGACGTTCCACTATTCCAATCATCCAATGAGAATCTGCTGGACAAAAGTCACAAATGATGCCAAGGTGTTCGACCTGAGCCTGGA